ACAACAACGACATCAATAACATCATCAACATCATCAACATCAAAAACAACATCAACAACATCAACATCGTCAACATCGTCAACATCAGCAACGTCAACAACATCAACATCGTCAACATCAGCAACGTCAACAACATCGACATCAACAACATCAAAAACAACATCATCAACATCAACAACATCAACAACATCAACAACATCAACATCAGCAACGTCAACAACATCAACAACGGCAACAACATCGACAACATCAACAACATCAACAACAACATCATCAACATCAACAACGACAACAACAACGACAACAGGTAAGTTTCCGAACATATGATTATTCTTTTGTATCAAATGTCATTTCACTCTTAATAGCGCCAGCGTGCGGTACTTATGTTTACAATCCGCCAGGACAGATTTTGAGTTTGTCCGCTAAGGATGCACAGACCACGTATACACAGTACACTTATAATTTCACGGCAAATCAAACTTTAACAATTCTATCATTTATAATAACGGGTGAGGGTGGAGGAGGTGCTGTTCACTACTGGTTATTAGACGAAGTATCTGTGAATCATACAAATGCAAATGCAGATGTTCTAATTAATGGTGATTTTGAAACAGGAGATTTAAGTGGTTGGACACAGTATTGTAACACGAGTATCAATTGTGATAGTAAATCAACTGGTAATTATGCGCATACCATAACAAGTCCGTGTTATGCAGGAACATATTGCGTTTATGATTCATGTAAAAATACTGATTATTTAGAACAATCGTTTTCTACTGTAATTGGAGATTACTATATGATATCATATTATCTCAGAATCGAACCTGATACATGGGGACCTAATCAAATTTATGTCACATTAACTTAATTGAGGTGACTTTTATAAACGAAATGACATTGATAAACACTACCTCTTTTCTGCTTTTTTTTCAGTTTTATGCGCATTACTTGTGTGATTCTAAACTTTTTATAAAAAGAAATCTTCTCATTTTTCTTAAAACATGTGTGTAACAATCCAATGTTATGTATCCTGTAATTTTCTTTTCCTCATATTTGTTCTGTCTACAAACAAATACTAGTATCTTTATCTTCTTCATCCATGAATAATATTTATATCTCTCTCTTTTTATGTATGTACGTCGTTATCTTACAATTATCATTCTTTTTTTAGCGATGTATAGTGTCTATTTTTCATTTTTCCCGTATATTGAGTGATATTCTTCATGTTCTTCTTTTGGATCCATATTTTAATCTGTATCGTCATACAAGTTTGGCTTTACTCCTTCTATTTATCTATCTTTGTGTTTACTGAATTTTTCTTTAATAAAATAATATGTAAGAGATGGAAAAAATATTGTAACGTTACGATTTTGGATATACTGATAAAACACACATTATCCCTTCAATAGTATCTACTACATCAAAAACTGTCAATGTCACAAAGCTGTTAACATAGAATGATGGGTGTTGGAATTAATTGCTAATATCCACACCGGAACACATCCAATAGCATTTCTCTTCATCGTTCGCTGCAGCAGTTTTTTATTGAGTAGTTGCAGAGTAAAATAAAACGATCAGTATCAAACGTTTCACTGAATATTAGAAATCTAAATTAATTGTAACATTACGTTTGTATTATATTTGTTGAGCATACTACGTCGCTTGTAGATGAATATTTCAGCTATTTGTGTGTCATATCAAGGGGAAATCTAATTAGATCATCCAAATCGACATCTTATTATTATTGTTTACGAAACTAGTAATGGACGTCATTAGAATTGCAATCGTGGTACTAGGAGTGCCATTGACGATGATAGATCATACCGCAATGTCGAGTCCAAGTAATTCACTAAAAACTATACTGAATTAATTACCATTTCCTAAATTCAAAGATAATCAAAGTGGAAGCATAATATTTGCAAGTTTGTTAGTTATTCAATCAATCAATAGCTGATTTATTACTTTGGTCTTTTGTTGTCGGCGTCATTAGAAATCATATTAATATTGATGGATTAATTAAACTCGGAAGTTGTACAGTTGATCGTTGTTATTCCTCGGCTTACTACGGTAGTAATTCTATTTATGAAAAAAGGGTTCAGTACTACGATCCAGAACATATCACCATTTGCTGGATTGGAGATACTCCAGTGACACTTCTTTTGTGCTCTTCTATAGATGATCTGTAAATACGTAATATTATGCTCTATCAATTGCTGATCAGACGAATAAATCATTTTTTTTACTGAATACTTGTCTCAAATATACAGTCGATGTTGTGCATGTGCAAGTGTAAGTGTATATGAATGACTGTCAGCGTGATGAAGTGTTTTCTCTTTAATATTAATCGATTTTAAATAAAATAATCTAAGAGTGAGTGTTAGTAAGATAAATAGAACACTCATAGCCACAGTAGCATTCGATTATACTCACACCCATACCCACTCACACCTTAGCTTATCGATATTTTGAAAGCGTTGAATTTCATTAATAAATAGAGAAATATTTCTATTTATTGTAATTGCTTAGATGAAAGGATTTATTTGAATAAGAAAAAAAACACGTTCAATATTTTTTTATGCATACAACTTTTTTATTTTTCTTGTCTGTAGAATATATATTTTGTTCATTAGTTTTCCTAATGGTGTTATATTACGATATTCACGCATGTACCTTTTCTGTGGTAATATATAAACATGAAATGTTAACATTTGATGTAGAAATATAAATGTTATTAATAAGATTTGTATTTTTGATGATAAAATTTCTTTATCTGACCATTTAAATGTACTGACAATAAAAAAATATGGAATCGTAGAAATAATAATTAATATAAAACATCTTAGATGTTCTTGATGTAATAACAATTGTTGAAAATAAGTTGTTTTACCTTTGAATAAATTCATACGACGTCGAATACTGTATTTTAAACTAATTACGGTGGTGATCGAATGTATCGAAGATGGTACTAACAGATGAATAAAAGAGCATATGATCGAAATTAAATTCATAGAAAATGCCGTATTTACTATCCATGAAGAATAACTTCCAGCAACAAATAAAATCACAAGAATAGATGTAATTACAGAATAATAAGAAGATAATCCTTGCATTTTACCGATGTATACATTGACAAGAGCGATATCAGTGGATAATGCAGCCGATAACCAAATACTAATTGTATTCATAATAATACATAAAAAAATAAATATATCAGCTAAACTCATATAAAGCACAAGTTCTTTCATAGCGGAATAAAATATTCCAATTGGTAAAAGAATTGAAATAATAATACCATTCATTGAGGGTGTGGGTGTAGGTGAGGTTGTAGATGTGGGTGAGGGTATGGGCGTGGATATGGGTGAGGATGTGAATATGGGTGTGGATGAGGCTGTGGACATAGATGTGGGTGTGAGTGTGGATGTTTTACTCTTCTTTTATCCCAAGGGTGTGGGTATATTTTCACTAACACTCATATCCACATTCACACCCACCCTCAAGATTGAAATTAATTAAATCATTGTATTTTTTTATTATAAATACATCAGTCTTAAAATCTTAGAATATAACAAACAGATTTTCTCAAATTATATCAGATTATCGTTAACTGTTTCAAATATTAGTTTCTCCATAAATAAGTTTCATATTCTTTATATTTATTAAAATAATGTTAAAAATTGATTAACAGAAAAATATTTAAATCATTAAAGACACATTTATATAGTTTTTCTTCTCGTTCTTCTCCATTTATAAATATAATGAAATAGAAAATAAAAAGTATAAAAGACATTATATTTCTAAAGGAAGTAAACAACGATATAAAAATATTTTCCTTTATATTTATATATACTGACAAATAATGATTGATATAGTTTAAGAAAAATTTTCTTGATAAATCTAATTCAGTATAATGATAAACAAGAAAATAATCATGTATACATATAAATACGCAATAAAGAGAATTATATTCACATCTTGATTCTTAAATCCAAAATTTAATTATCATTTTCAGTCTTTTATTTTTTGATTAGTTATCAAAGTATTCTATTTCCTTCTTTTTTTGTAATTAAAATAAAAATAATTTGAAAGATTTTAAAGAGTTTTTCTTTTCACTTCATTGCAATACTCATTATTTATTGTTTTGTCATGATTTTCTACTTTTTAAAAACAATTAAATATGCATTTTACTCACTGATTTCAATTATTTTTTTACTCATTAATTCTTTTTCTTTACAATTTCTCATCGAATGAGAGAGAGAATAAATACTGCTATCATTTAAACTAGTTCACACGGTAGAGCTTTTAAAAAAAGACAATAGTTTCTTTTATTTCTTTGCAGAGATATTTACAAATGAATCTTCTCTTTATTCATTCTCATACTATCAATAAGTTCTGAGTCATGAATAAGAAAAGTTTACCTATTCGGTTACTTGAATATATCTATCATTATAATGTTTTCATACCTGATGAGGATGATTATGATGATGATGATTTAGATGATAACAATGATAAAGTCAGAGATCCTGCACTTACTCTCAAACAACAATTATATACAACTCGATTATATATTCCTCTTTTTATCAGTAAGTTTCATAAATATAACGATTTACTTGTGATGTTTCTACTACTTTTTAGTCGTCCTATACATTCTTACTTTCATTGCTTTTGTCAGTCCACAAGATCAATTGATCACTGTCACCAACATAACTCCAGAGCTTTTCAATCAACTCTCTATCGAACATGCTGATACACTTTCTTGTCCTTGTTCAACTATTGCTGTGCCATATGAAATAATTGTATCAAATACGATCTCTTTTCATCCAGTATGTTCGAGTATCTATGTGAGCAAAGAATGGATTCAAGCACTTTATTTGTCTTATGCCAGTTCACTATTAGTGACAGATTTTCGAACAACTGCTAAATCTCAAGTAAGTCAATATCATCGAACGAAAACAAAACTATTTTTCAATCTATTTAGTTTGAACTTCTTGCTGACTTCTGTTCAATTTGTCAAAAAACAGTTTCTGAATCTCTAACTGATCTGATGGATGAACAACTTGTTACTGTTCAATTACTTTCAGAAGATCAAGTTCGTTCTCAAATATTGGCTAATGTTGATCTAATCAAGAGTAGTATACCTGCTCAAATCGAAAGTATAGTGAAATTATTACAAATAACAACTCAATCAAACTCTCTCGTTTCTGCTCTCAATACCAATATACAAGCTTTTACAGGTTTGACCCTTGCTCAAACGCCATACATTGATCCAATTTCAACACATTTTTATGATGAAAACAAGACTTACCAACTTAATGCCTGGGCTCAAACTTGCAATATAGTAAGTGGAACAGCATTTGCTGGTTTTTATTCACTCTCACCGCTTGACAGTATAAATAATCATTTTCAATGGCCCCTGTATTATCCATACTTAAGGAACAAAATAATCCCTAACGCAACAGTCGATGGATTCTTTAGTGGATGTACTCCACTTGATGGTTTGCTTGTCAGTACATTAGATTGCTTATACAGTAGCACTTGTCTTAAGAACTTTGCCGATTATTTTCCAGGTCTCAATCAGGTATAATTCATTCGATCTTTTTAGTCATACTATTAATTAGATTCTACTGTCATTTAGACAAATTCCACATGGTTAAATGGTCTTTCAGCTTCATTTCAAAAAAGAATTCCTGTCAAAGATCTTTTATCTGAATTGTTTGTAGAAGAATGGTTACCTATGATCAATTACTCACAATATTTTACTTCATGTGCTCCAAAAAGATGTACATATACTGAAATTAATCATATGAATCTTTTCTATACTGCTGCTCTTTTACTGGCTCTTTATGGTGGTCTCACCATTCTACTTCGTTTGATTACATCATTTTCAGTTTCTGTTTTCTTCAAAGTCAAACATCGCTCAACTAACAACAATTTTAATCGTGGTAAGTTTTAATAATTACGCAAAAGTGATATAATAGATTAAAATATATTGTATCTATAGGCACACGTACAAGATATTTCAAAAGATCGTTGAATAAGTTGAAACAACTGAATTTGTTCAAATCACTCTCGAAACGAACCGCAGATGACATTAAATTACAACGCATAACTACACGTCTATATTTGGTTTTACTTGCAAGTATGATTGTTTATATCTTATTGATATATGTGTAAGGATGATTATTATATTTTATGTTTGATTCAAGGTTCCATATGTATTTTCCTGCTATATAAATCACTTGATGTACAGACAACTAATATAATTGTATCTAAACCTTCGTTGACAACATACAAACAATTACAAAAATCGTATAACAATTCACTTGAATGTTCTTGTTCAAATATTGCAGTACCATTTGAAAAATTTGTTACATGGTCACCAAGACTTCATCAATTGTGTTCAAGTGATTTTATCACCGAGAACTGGATTACTTTATTATCGTTTACTCAGATAACGGGGCTTTTGGTATGGCCTACAATGGATTGGGATGGTTTCAAAGGTACACATTTTCGTTTTTTATCCACCCTATGTCAATTAGCTAACAAAACTGTAACTGATGCTATTCAACGATTTGGTATACAATCGTTCATTACACTCAATGTTACTACTGAAACTAGTTTTAATATTCAGTTAAATTTAATTGTTAATCAATTCGCTCAATCATTCATCACAAGTTTTGATCTTCTTATCCAGACAGTACAACTACTCACTCAAACAGACCAACCTTATACATTAGATGGCAATGCAGTTTTATTTTATTTAACAACACAAGATGAAATTAATGGTGCACAATATGCTCGGGTATAGTAATAAGCTTTAATTAACCTATTTTTTTTATTATTGTTTATGACGAAGTAACATAAGTGGAAAAAATTCTATACGATCAATGAATCATATTGGATAATCAATTTCTTTTTTGATTTAGATTGGGTTTCAATTCACTGGTCCGACAAACGCCGAAACGAACAGTATATCATGCATCTGTGCAACAGATCCTCATTGTCAAATACCAGTTCTTGATCCTGTGAATACGACGACACTATCCGATGGTCATCAATTCTCTGAAGTGATAGGATCAATGCAAAGCTGCTACGTTGTAGATTCTGTGTTACTGTCAACACTTGAATGTTACTACTTACATTCGTGTGTGTCCATTCTCTATAAATACATAAACAAATCAATGAGCTTCGTTGATACAGGTCTCACATATTTCGATGTTAATATTCTTGTTAATGACTCAGCATCGACTCGTTTTCCTCCAAACACATCACTTTCAACAATAGTTAAAGCATTACTGGTCGAAGAATGGAATCAAGTATTTTCATTTAATCAATATTACGAACAATGTGCCCCTAGCAAGTGTACTTATTCACAAGAAGTACGTACTACTGATTTTCTTGGAATAATAATATTTGTGATATCGATAATCGGTGGTCTTATTGCTGGTGTACGATTAATTGCATCTTTACTGATTAAAATGATTGCCATTTTATGGAAGATAAAACGGCGACCAAAGACACCTCAACAACCAGCATCGTCACTATCATTCAGTCGAATAAAGCAAAGTATATTCAAACTGATTAAGCTGTTACCCACTATACTATCCAATCTAAATATCTTTCCAAGACGAACTTTCGGAGGACATTTTCATTCTGATAAAGCAAAATATTTTGGACAATTATCAACACGACTTTATATCATTCTTCTCATCATAACTATGATTGTTTTGGCATTCTACAATGTCATCCAGTCACGAATTATCATAAAGACTTTTGATAAACCAAATATTGATGTTTACAATAGTCTTCTACTTACCCATAGTGACACTCTTCAATGTCGTTGTTCATCGATTTCATCAACATACAATCATTTTGTTCAAATTCAACCCGTTTTTCATCAAGTAAATACAGAAGATCTTTTGAATTTTTTAATCATCTTTAGTGCAATTAATTCGTTTTAGATATGTTTAAGTCCATTTATTTCAGAACAATGGCGAACGATGATCACTTCAAAATTATATCCAGATCTGTCTATCTATCATGATCGAGATTATCGTCGTTTTCTTTCATCTCATTTACAACTTCTCTTCGGGCTATGTTCCGAAGCGATGCAATCAGTAAATAGTTCTATTGATCAACTTCTTTCTTCATTTTTTCTTACTGATCAACTTGTATCACCGACTACACTTGCAAGTCGTATCAATTCACTTGTTAATAGCAGTCAATCAAATGCTCCTAAGTCTTTCGTCAGTCGTCTATCACTTATTCGATCTATCAATTATGGCAATGCTATTATGTCAGCTTATGGAACAAATTTTCAATACATTGTTCCTTGGGGAAATCAAATTTATCCAGCTGCAATCACTCAAGCATTAATTTATGGTGATGAATGTTCATGTGCATTGAATATGAATTGTACTACTCAAGCTGGATTTTTTCTAAATGATTTATCAACAATCGAGCCAATCAATGGTTTGAAAATAGGTTGTACGCCAAGTGAAGCATTATTTTCTTCAACATTAGAATGTTTTTATGATATATCATGTATCAATCTTATTCTCCAATCTGTCGATAATGACAATATGTTATATTCACCTCTGTCCTCAAATAATAGTCGATTTTCAATGAATTCAACTGTATTCGATTTGATTACAAATGTTTTCATTGAAGACTGGTTGACATTAATTGATTATCTAAAATATTTTAATCAATGTTTACCAAGTTCATGTTCATATCAATATATTCAAAGATTTAATTGGCTTTATACTGTTACTGTTCTACTTGGTCTTTATGGTGGTTTGTCATTTATTTTCAAATGGTTATGTCCAAAAATAATTCTTCTTTTTAATCAAATCTATCAATATTATAGAAAACGAAGAAATACGATTGGACCTATTTTGACAACAACAGTGGCAACAATAACGAATACATTGAACGAGAATCATATCAACAATACTACTACTGATGCATGTACAACATCTTCAATTCTACCACCGTATGTTACATTGATCTTTATAATAATTAATATTAATAATTGATTTTTAGAAAACAATTCACTTCAAGAATGTATTGTTATATTATTCTCGGCATGATTTTATTCGGGAGTTCGTTAGCAGCGATGATAGTAGTATCGATTTATTTAAATTCAAAAGCTACTGTGAATCATACGACATCAACAGGTATTATTTGTTTTAATTGTCAATTTTCCCCTAATGATTCCTCTTGCAAATAACATCATTTTCTATTTATACTAGTTTTATCAACAACTGTTCGTACAACTGATTCTACTACTTTAACAACATCAATATTGTCAACAGGTTAGTATAAATATATGTTCAAATAAACTTTTCATAATAAAATAGAATACAATCCTATTTCTCTTTCTATTTAGAACCATCCTGTGCATTAACATTTGACCAATCAAATTTATTTACATTTAACCCCAGTTCTTCTTTTATGTCAATCATCACTGATGATTTTAATGGTGATACTTATCTCGATCTTGCTCTCGTTGATGACGAATTGGGTAATCTTAATTTATTTATTGGGAATAATAATGGAACTTTTACAGCACCATCTATATATGTTATTGGATCAGATAATTACGCACACTTTGTAGCTGCTGGTGACTTGAACAATGATAATTATATAGATCTTGCTGTCGCGAATAGTAATTCTGATACTATAGGGATCTTTTTTGGCTACGGTAATGGAACTTTTCAAACACAACAGATAATTTCAACTGGATTCGTTCATTCGCCATCTTTATTAGTAATTGGTGATTTCAACGATGATCATCATTTAGATATTGTTGTTAATGGCAGGCAATTAGGTATAATGTTTGGTTTGGGTAATGGTTATTTAGACAGCACGACAGTTCTCTGTGATGATGATGTATCGAATGGGAGTTTCATCATTGCCACTGATTTTAATAATGATACACATCTAGATCTTATTGCCAGTTACCGTTTCGATGGCATGATACGAATATTACTTAATAATGGTCATGGATATTTTTATTTGTGGATAGCTTTGACTTTAGAAAAATTTTCTATTCTAGATTCCTTTACAATAGCTGATTTAAACAATGATAATCGTCCAGATTTAGTTATTGCTAATCCAAATAAAAATTACATAGCTATTTTCATTCAGAATAATAATGGAAGTTTTGGCCAACAGACAGTATATCCGACAGGAGTATTTGGTAGTATAGATACGGTTGTTGTTGGTGACTTTAACAATGATGGTCAAGTTGATCTTGCTGCTACTCTTTCTTATAAAGAACGAGTAAATATTTGGGTGGGTATTGGTAATGGAACATTTTTACTGTCATCAATGTTTTCAACTGGATCTACTAGTGCACCGACTACAATGATTACAGGTGATTTTAATAGTGATAATAAATTGGATTTTATTGTATTAGATATGTATTCAGCCAATGTACTTATTTCTATCAATACATGTGATTGTTGTATACAAAATATTTCGAAGAAATAACGAATATTAACATGATAAACTACTCAATTCAATTATATGCATTTTTATTCAAGCTTTTGCTTTTGTTCATTGTCTTCATTTATGCAATGTCGTTGGCTTCGTATTTATTTCAAATAAAACTAAATTTCACTTTAATAAAATATAAATTAAGAGAGATATTCAATTGTGGACGTGGGTGTGCATATAAAGTTAATGAGACACCCACACCTACATCTTCAATAACTTTAATAAGTTTTTCACTGTATTCATTGATTGTTCTGTATATTTGTAATAACAATAAGGCATCGAAGTTTCGGCCTAGTGAGGTTATACTTCATACATAAAGTTCATCATTGCAAACCAACTATATTTACAAATTGGATTCTATCTAAGTGACTCTCTTTGAAAACAGGAACCAAAATAACGAGAATTCGAAAAAAAATAATAATAAAGATACTTTTCCTAGAAAGGAAATAGAAATTAAATAAGATAATATTATAGAGCAAATCTATTTCTACTATTTGATTAATTCTTTTAAGTCAAAACAATAATCTGCATACTAATCGTAATATCTACATGGGATAACTGATGCTTTTCATAGGTAATTAATACTTGATCTTGTATGATTTCGAGTACTTGTTATTCCATAATTTTGTACCACTCATTCGAAAATATATACCAGCAGTGTGGCGCAGAGGTAGCGCGTTGGTCTCATAATCCGAAGGTCGATAGATCAAAACTATCTACTGCTATGATTCATTTTTGTAATTTCTCTTTAGAATTGCGTAATAACAGAGAAAACATTTATCTTGTGCAATCATAAATAGATGATGCAAGCGAGTGAATCAGATTTGTTCTTTAATGTCTTTCTTATAAGAACTGTATATATTAAATGAAACAACAGTAAGTATTCATATCTATCGATTGATAACATAATCCTGATGATGATACAATTAACTAGCAAAACATTCTTGAGGGTGTGAATGTAGAATGAACACAATACCCTCACCCACACCCTCGTACTTAGTTTTCATCACAATATATTGACTGCTTTATAGTCCAATGTTTAACTTGAGTCTTGTACAAGTTCTTTGTTCTATAATGCAATCTTTTCATAAAATAAAAATGAATGAAGATAAATGTCAAATGTTCAACGTCGATTAATATTTCTCATTCTTTGTGCATGTCTTAACTGTGCTGTTTTCTTTAATGGATTAAACATATTGGAAAACTTCGTAAAAGCAGTATACATTACTACAGCTTGTATAGGAACCATAGCAGCCATCATGACAATACTCATAATTGCTACTGGTTGTGCACATGCATTTATCTATTATATATGTGTTAAATATGAGTCTTATGTAATTGAAAACTTACGAAATCTATAGGATACATGACAGGAATGGTAGTTTCAGTTGATCCACTTGCAGTAGTTGCACCCGCTGTTGTTGGACCTATAGAACAGAAGTTAATTAATTACAATAATAATTTCAAAAAAGAAATGGTATTTTCTTACCAGCTGTAGTTACAATTGTAGTAGTTATAGTTGTTGTAGTTGTAACAGCAGCCGTAGTAGTTACCACTATGCCAGATGTTGTACACTATGAAAAAATTTTATATTAGGAATAAATGTTAGTTTAGATAAACTTACTGCAGTATTAATAGAAGTAGTAGTTGTTTGTAGGGATGTAACTGTATGAGTTGTTGGTGGAGTAGTAGTTGTTGTTGTTGTCGATGATACAGCTGGATCCCAAATGTTAAATACCCAATATGTTGGATCATAAATCGGAGCAGATTCAGGACCTCCAATGATGTAGCATTTAATTTATTAATCGATATAATTAATAATTTATTACTTACCACAAAAATCAGTTCCACTGGCGACACCTTAAATCAAACAACATACCAATATATTAATTGAAAATACTGTATAAGAGTAATAAATTTATACATACCACTATCAAATGTTACGTAATAAAAATGTCCAGGAATCCATGGTGCAACTGGAAAACGAATGATAGTTGTAAAGCCTGTATATATTACTTCGGGTGCCCAACCACAATCGAATTTCTGAACGAGTGTATTATTAGCAGTAGCATCTGTAAAATAGATGTAAGTACCGTTAAGTGTTGGACGATTTACAGATTTTGTCGCTGAAAAAATACAATTAAATAGATAAAAACTTATTCACAAATATTACTTTGAATCGAGAAAATGGTTTG